GTACAGAATTGTTTTAGCTGTATTGCTTTTCATTTATCTTTTGATGTTAATGGTTGCTCTTTCAAAGTCTATAAATAATTTTGTTAGAATTTTGTTAGGTATTGCTTTGAATTTTTAGCTTGCATTTGTTAAGATGGCCATTTTTTACAATGCTAACTGTATGATTCATGAGTTTAGGAGATCTTACCACCTTCTGATCTCTTCTTCATTTTCTTTCTCCAGGGATTTGAAGTTATACAGGTCTTTTAGAGTTTATACCAAAATATTTTGTATTTTTGTAGTTATTGTTCAGGATGTCCTAATTTCATTCTAAGCCCATTTAAGTTTTGTATACAGAAGGGCTACTGCTTTTTTTTAGTAAATTTTGTTCTGAGCCACTTTTTGGAAAGTGTTTGTCAACTGTATAAGCTCTCTTATAGAATTTCTAGATTCACTTATGTATACTAGTATATCATCTTTGTATAGCGATGCTTTGAATTCTTCCTTTCCAATCTTTATCTCATTGATCATGTTCCATTGTCTTATTGCTCTGTCATGGAACTTGTTGGAATTGCTATAAGTTTCTTTCCATTTATTTGATGTAGGCTATAGGCATGCTCTTTGGTGCTTTTATTATGTATAGATTTGAACCTGATCTCTACAAGTCTTTTAACATGAATGGGGTGTTGGATTTTCTTAAAGGCCTTTTCACCATCCAAAGAGATGATCATGTGTTTTTTTTTTTCTTTATCAATTTGTAAGGTTGATTAAATTGGGGGATTTTCATATGTTGAACCATTCCTACATCAGAGATGAAGGCTACTTCTTGGTGGGTGACATTAATGTGTTTTTTGATTCAGTTTGTGAGTATTATATTGAGTATTTTTACATTGCTTTCATAAGGGAGATGGTTCTGAATTTCTTTTTTTGTTGTGTCTGTTATATAGTTATCAGGGTGATTTTGGCAATGTTCCTTCTATTTGTATTTTGTGGAATAGTTTAAGGAGTATACATATTACCTTTTCTTTGAAAGTCTGGAAGAATTCTCTGCCAAAACCCTCTGGTTCAGAACTGTTTATTTTGTTTGGGATACTTTTAATGACTGATTCTTTTTCCTTAGGGTATATAGGCCTTATTTTTGTTTTATTTTGTTTTGTGGTGTTTGTTTGTTTTTGAAGTCAAAGTTCCTTTTAGTAGTTCTGTCTGTCCTGTAAGTAGGTATGTAGACCAGGCAGGCCTCAATTTAGAGATCCACTTTAAAGTGTCTCTAGAGTGCTGGGATTAGTTGTGGCCCCACAAACCTGGCCTTTTTGTTTCTTTGTTATATTATTATGTGATAGGCTTGGAAAACAGGTTTTGTACAAGTCAAACGTGCTCTTGCGTTGATCTTCATTATGATAATACTGCTTGAACCTTCTGAATCATATGACTACAGTATTTTTTATGCTTATTTTAAATTATTTTGAATGAATATAACTATTTTGCATATTTATGTGAATAAATACCTCATGTGTGCCTTGTCCTCACAGTAGTCAGAAGATGGCCTCAGAACTCTTGAACTTGGAATAATGGATAGGTGTGAGCTCCTATGTTAGGAGGCCCAGAGGGAATGGCAAGTGAAGCTTCAGGAACTCCTACAACTACTTGAAAGGTCCTGATCCAATGCACATAGTTGATCTACTAGGGATTCCTAGCACACTAGTGAAATCTCAAAGGTAACTAAGTCTAGGGTGGTGCTTCTTTCCTCTTCTTTATGGAAATCTCCTAAGTTATGGAGTGCCATAACTTGCCACCCCACAACTCCCACATTTTCTTACAGTGGTATCAACCTGATTGATTGTTACTGTTACTTGAGGCTAGCATGGGATGGTCTGATTGGGCTTTTAATCATTTAAAGGCAGTTACACTGGATAATAAAGTTAGATCTGCAGTATTCAGTCTTGTCTCTGGAGTTTGATTACCAGTTTTCTGTGTGGACTCTGTCACTCCCTAACCCACTTAACCCCATGGTTCCTAAGCCCCACCTATGTTAGTACTGGCAATCAAACCCAAATATCTGCAAGACCAACAAGACCTCTTCACTGCTGAGCCATCTCTCATGCCCTATGTTGCATGTTTTATTTATTTATTTAATATACTTTTTATTTTTTATGTTAGTTATTTACTTTGTATCCCAGCTATTGCACCCTCACTCATTTCCTCCTAATCCCACCCTCCCTTCCTCATTTTCTCCATTCCCCTCTCCAAGTTCACTGATAGGGGAGTGGACTTCTAGCTTATCTGATCTCATCAGGTCTGGCAACATTGTCTTCCTCTGTGGCCTGGCAAGCTTGCTTTCCCCCTCGGGAGGGGTGATATTCAAAGAGCCCACCACTGAATTCATCTCGGAGACAGTCCCTTACTAGGGGAGTGTTCCTCTTCCTAGGGTACCCACTTGGATACTGAGGTTACCATGGGCTTCATCTGAGCAGGGGTTCTAGGTTATATCCATGAATGGTTCTAGGTTGGAGTATTAGTCTCAGGAAAGACCCCATATGCCCAGATACTTAATTCTATTGCTCTCCTTGTGGATCTCCTGTCCTCTCTAGGTCCTACTATTCCTCCCTCCCTTCTTTCAGAGTATTCACTACACTCTGCCCTAGTTTGTTTATGAGTCTCAGCATCTGCTGAGTAGTCTTTCAGAGGCTCACTATGGTAAGCTCCTGTCCTGTTTCCTGTTTTCTCCTTCCAATGTCCATCCCATTTGTCTTTCTGAGTAAGCAATATCTTACCCAGGGTCCTCCTTGCTTAGCTTCTTTAGATGTACAGATTTTAGTATGTTTGTCCTATATTTTAGGTCTAGTATCCACTTATAAGTAAGCATATACCTTGTGCATCTTTCTGCTTCTGGGATACCTCAATCAGGATGATCTTTTCTAGATACCACCATTTGCCTGCAAATTTCATACTTTCCTTGTTTTTAATGTCTGAGTAGTATTCCATTGTGTAAATGTACCACAATTTCTGTATCCATTCTTCAGTTGAGGGACATCTGGGTTGTTTCCAGGTTCTGGCTATTATGAATGAAGCTGCTAGGAACATGCTTGAACAAATGCATGTGTTTTGTACTTGAGTATCTTTTGGATATATACCTAGGAGTGGTATAGCTGGATATTGAAGAAGCGCTATTCCTAATTGAGAAAGCACCAGATTGATTTCCAAAGTGGTTGTAAAAGTTTACATTCCCACCAGCAATGGAGGAGGGTTCCTCTTTCTCCACATACTCTCCAGCATGTATTGTCACTTGAGTTTTTGATCTTAGCCATTATGATGGGTGTAAGGTGAAATCTCAGGGTCATTTTGATTTGCATCTTTCTGATGGCTAAGTTCCTTGAGCATTTCTTTAAGCATTTCTCTGCCATTCTATAGTCCTTTACAGAGAATTTTCTGTTTAGCTATATACCCGAGTTTTTAATTGGATTATTTGATTTGTTATTTTTTAACTTCTTTAGTTCTTTATCTATTCTAGATATTAGCCCTCTGTCAGATACAGGGTTGGTAAAGATCCTTTCCCAATTTGTAGGCAGTTGATTTCTTTTGTCGACAGTGTCCTTTGCTTTACAGAAGCTTTTTAGTTTCATGAGGTCCCATTTATTGATTGTTGCTCTTGGATACTGTGCTATTGGTGTTCTGTTCAGGAAGTTTTTTCCTGTGCCAATGAGTTCTAGGCTCTTCCTCACTTTTTCTTCTAATTGATTTAGTGTGTCTGGTTTTGTGTTGAGGTCTTTGATCCACTTGGACTTTAGTTTTGTGCAGGTTAATAAATATGTATCTATATGCATTTTTCTACATGCAGACGTCTAGTTAGACCAGCACCATTTGTTGAAGATGCTGTCTTTTGTCCATTATATGGGTTTGGCTACTTTGTCAAAAATCAAGTATCCGTAGGTATGTGGATTAATTTCTATGTCTTCTGTTCAGTTCCATTGATCCACCATTCTGTTTCTATGCCAGTACCATGCAGTTTTTATTACTATTGCTCTGTAGTACAGCTTGAGAATGAGTTGTCTTGTTGCTCTAGCTAGGACTTCAATAAAACATAGGATACAGATAATGTCACAATAAAAAAAAGAAAACAGGCAATGAATCACAGTAACACCACCAACTCTACAATTAAAGGAACTAACATTTCTAATATTTTAATTTAACTGTGCATTGGTGTGAGGATGTCAGATTGACTGAATGGGAGTTTCAAACAGCTATGAGCTGTCATGTGGCTGTGTCCTCTGGAAGAACAGACAGTATTCTTAACCACTGAGCACTACCTCCAGCCTCCTAGGTTGTCTCTTTATGATCAACATTTACAGTTAATATTTTCATCTTTCCTTTTGTAATTGTTCAAACATATGTTTCATTTTAGCAAGATTGTATTAATATTACAATTTAAAATGAGGTACTTTAGGTTTCTAGTCATGTATACAGAACTGGAGAGAATGTATAACTGTAGAAGCTTGAGAAAGATCTCTCTGTTCTTTCTATCTTTTTTCTTTGATTGATTAATTTTTGCAGAATATTCTGGTTCTTATTATATACCCCTGACTCTCCTAGAACTTATTGCAAAGACCAGGCTAATATGCAGCTCTATGTGATACACCAGTGACTCTCCTGAGTGTTTCAGAAATAAAAGGCATGAGAAAATATACCTGGCTTGCCCATTGTTATTATAGTTAGGAATTGTTTATACTATTTCTCTGATGTAGGCTCGGTACTGTTGATCTGTTTACTCTCTGTCTCACTTTATGCTCTTAATTGGCATTTCTTTTGCAAGGCTGTATCCTAATTAAAGGATGCAGAAATTAGAGAGATGAACCTTACTTCTCAGTTTCCTTCTAAAAGGAGTTAGTAGCTATATTAGCACTTGTGTGTCACAAAATAAATAGAACAAACACTAGAGTTATATATGACTATATTGGAAATGAATTATACATTTCCCCTGTTGTCACTTTCATGCTTTCTATTGTGCGCTTGTGTGGATATTTTAGACTGCATTGACATACAATGATGTGAATGTGAACTTTACTCAAGAAGAGTGGGCTTTGCTGGATCATTCCCAGAGGAGTCTCTATAAAGATGTGATGTTGGAGACCTACAGGAACCTCAATGTTATAGGTATGGCAGTTAATTTTCTTTACTTTTTAAAAGATGGGGGGAAATCTTTATTTGTTATTAATGACCATCTGTAATTTCACTTGAGGATGAGGAAGAATGGTGAATGGTTCTTTGACCATAGGTCACAGTCTAAATTTTGCCTTATTTCCAATAATAAGTCATATATTTTCTGGTACTGTGTTTTAGGCTACAATTGGGAAGATCACAATATTGAAGAGCGTTGTCAAAGTTCTAGAAGACATGCAAGGTAATTTTCATGTCTAGGCTGTTATAAATATGGTTCTGAGAAAATTTTAATGTGACCTGGAAGTTTAAATGAAAAAGGACAGTGTAAATGAACTGCTTTAAGTATATATATTGATTACTAATTTGTTACCAAACCAGTACCTTCATGTTAACTACTTCATGTGTGTTTGCACAGCACTCCTCTAAGAAAGAATGCAAGGAAATTATAGCCCTACCTAACATCACCATTTAAATCATACCTGCATTAGAGCTATATGGTAGGACTGCGGTTTGTTTAGTCTCCTACAACTCAGTATTGCAAAAGGTATTCACAGTAAGTAGGTGATGAAAGTATGTCCACATCATATTAAGCAAATAGTTCATATTAAATCTGGGATTACTCATATACTTGTAGTAATGTTATTAAACTTTTTGAGAAGCACCGTTTTATAGTCAAGAATATTGCTGTGGAAAAAACATAATCCCTATTGCAGATCTCTATGATAACAAAATTAAATGTGTGAATGTCATGTGAAACCATGCCATTTATTATTTTTCTTTTAATGGGTACATATGTTACAATGAATACAAGCCATGTTAGCATGGGGCTATTGAAAGAAGCAATGAAACTCTCAGAACAACTAAAAGATATAATCCCCATTTTGAGTAGATTTTTAAAAGGTGATACCTGTTTATTCTTTATATGGCATATTTGAACCTGCCAGCAGTACAAATAATGACACAGAGCCATTTTGATATTGTTAAGCTTAGGCAATTTAATTGGGCAGATCCAGAATCCTCTATCTCCCTTAACAAAAATAAACCTAGCATGGAGTACTGCTGCATGGCCAACTCTACCTCTTTGTACCAGTTCATGTCCAACTTTTAACCTCAGTGTCCTGCTGGTTAATCGCTTGTTTTTTACTTTCTTCCTAGCAATCCTCTCAAAAGTTCTGCCCCCCATTTTGTGCCCTTCTCTCACTTGTCAGCTCTTTATTATTTCCAATAGACAAGTAAGGATGGACAAATGTTTACAAAATATAGGACAGGTGATGGGCCATAGAATGAATAATACTAAAATCTGGCCAGCACTTAGATCTCTGCTGGCTCAGCAATCAACATTTGCATTTACTGACACATTTTCACAGTTTACCTCAACATCAATTAACTGGTTATTCAACTTCATTAGGAAATCTCACAGCATCATACTGCAGAAAATATAAGTTTTAGAAATATATGAATACTTTTATTTGTCCCAGTTATCTTTGCAAATTTAGCATGTCATACAGTATATGGAAATTTATTAATCCAGTCAGTGTGTTAAAGCTCTGAGGTCTTGCAGTTTTCTACAAATATGTGGTAAAACATCTTATAGAAGAAAGTATAGCATAAATTGAGCCAGGTAAGAAATCTGTTATTTCTTCTTCTTATCACAGTTATTTTCAAATATGCAAAACAACCGATAGAGAAAGAGAACACCGTGAATATAAAAATAATGATAAACGCTCAAGATGTAATTCCTCTTTACCTTTACACCAAATTATAAAATTAAGTGACATGGACAAAAAGATTCATTAGTGTAATGAATGTGGTAAAGCTTTCATATGTGCCAATTATCTTTGCAGGTGTGAAAACAGTCATAGTGGAGAGAAACCCTCTGAAGATCCTCAATATGATGAAGTCTTTGCACATTACAGTAATCCCCACACATGTAAAACTATGCATACTGTTGAGAATCGCTATAAATGTAACCAATGTGGTAAAGCCTTTGCACATAACAGTCATCTCCTAAGACATAAAAGGACACATACCGGAGAAAAACCTTATGAATGTAACCAATGTGGTAAATCCTTTGCACATAACAGTTATCTCCTAATACATGAAAGAACTCACACTGGAGAGAAACCTTATGAATGTAACCAATGCCGTAAAGCCTTTGCAGATAAGAGTGTTCTCCTAAGACATAAAAGAACTCACACTGGAGAAAAACCTTATGAATGTAACTGGTGTGGTAAAGCCTTTGCATTTAACAGTAATCTCCTAATACACAAAAGAACTCACACTGGAGAGAAACCTTATGAATGTAACCAATGTGGTAAAACCTTTGCACATAGCAATCATCTCCTAAGACATAAAAGAACTCACACTGGAGAGAAACCTTATAAATGTAACCAATGTGGTAAAGCCTTTGCATATAACAGTATACTCCTAATACATAAGAAAATTCACACTGGAGAGAAACCTTATGAATGTGACCAATGTAGTAAAGCCTTTACATGTAACAGTAATCTCCTAATACACAAAAGAACTCACACTGGAGAGAAACCTTATGAATGTAACCAATGTGGTAAAGCCTTTGCACAGAACAGTCATCTCCTAATACATAAAAGAACTCACACTGGAGAAAAACCTTATGAATGTAACCAATGTGGTAAAGCCTATGCACGTAACAGTCGTCTCCTAATACACAAAATAATTCACACTGGAGAAAAACCTTATGAATGTAAACAGTGGTAAAGCCTTTGCATGTAACAGGAATCTCCTAATACACAAAAGAACTCACAGTGGGGAAAAAACCTTATGAATGTAACCAATGTGGTAAAGCCTTTGTACAGAACAGTCATCTGGTAGTACATAAAAAACACATACTGGAGTGAAACCTTTTGAATGTACCTAATGTGATGAAGTCTATGCATATCAGAGTAGTCTCTGAAAACAAAAGAGCACAGCTTGGAAAAAAACCTTATGAATGTAATCTCTGTGTTAGGACATTTGTATAACACAGTCATTTCCTAATAGATAAAAATGCATACTGCAGAAAATCCTTATAAATATAACCATGTCATATAGGCTTTTCATGCAGCAGTCATCTTCTAGGACAAGAACACATACTGTAGTGAAACCCAATAAATGTAACCAATATAAAAAAGCCTTTGCACATAACAGTCATCTCATAAAACATAAAGAACACATACTCGAGGGAAACTTTAGGAATGTAACAAATGTCGTAAAACTTTTGCTCTTCAGAATTGTCTTCAAAGTCATGAAAGAATACATATTGGACAGAAAGACTGAGTTTATTTAATATGGTGGAGCTACTTTACATTTGTATAATCACCATCATGAAAGACTTTGTACTGGAGAGCAACATTATGAATATGTTAAAATGTGAGGCCTTTGCACATATCTATATTCTTCATTGATATAAAGTTTCATACTGGAGAAAAATTTTGTGAACATAAGCAATGTGGTGAGGCCTTTTTGTTCATCAGTCCACTGAATCCAATAAAACTCAAACTCTAGTTCAATGAAAATGACAAAAAATATTGTTATCCAGACACTACTGGTTGATTAGGGCCACATAACATTCTTGGGAGCTGAGCTGTGATACCTACATACCCACTGAGCCAAAATGTTACGGAGGTTCTGAGATTAAAAATCGTAAACATTTGTTCCATTTTACAACTATTCTTTTTCATCAATCAGGGTTTAGAGATGTGGGATTTGTTTATGCCATTGAGGAAGTCACCTGAGGCAAATGTAGGTTTTACAATTCAACCAATCATATTCATTTGTTCATCTGTGGTTAGGAAAAGGTATCATGTTTTAGAGAAGAGAAGCTGTGGTATGGGACAGTCATTATGTTTGGTGACCAGAAACCATGGTATGGAACAAAAGATGTTTGGGGGAACAAAAGATGAATAATGAAAGCTTGTCAGCTATTGGGAAGTGTGCAGCTTTCCTAGGGAACTTAAATTTAGGTCCACCCTATAATTCAATGGAGGCTGGTATATAAAAGGCAATATTTAGGACAAATTTCTTTTGCATATTCCCACATGCAAATTACCTTTGCATGTTTTGCACATCACAGTCATCTTCAAGTATGTAAAAAAACAGATAGTAGAGAGAAACCTTACATGTGTAATCAATGTGATAAAGCCTTTTCTTAACAGTCGTCTCTAAATACATAGAATACTTACTGCAGTGAAACCCTATGAATAAGCAATGTGGTAAAGTGTTTTCATGTGGTTGTCTTTGAAATCATAAGAAAATTTCATGCTACAGAGAAACCCCATGGGCGTAGTCAGTATTATACAGTTTTGTACGTCACAGTACCATTATAAAAGAGTAAAAGATTTAGCTTTTGCATATCACAGCAGTCTTTCAGAACCTAAAAGAACTCATTCTGAAGGAAATCTATTAGGATAAAATATTTGCTAAGATTTTTGACCCACCAACTTGCAATCAATTACAGGAGATTATTTGGAGGAAAAGTTCTAAGATGTGTCAACAGTGTATTCGTACATTATGACATCCATCCTTATTTTGTTTCCAATTAAAAGCTCATATGGACTAAAGGCCTATAAATTTAAACAATCAGCTAACCCTTTTAGATTTCAAAAGTCTCTTCAATTACAAGAAATTAATCATCCAGTTTTACAGTTTATGGGTGTGTATTAGTGCCTTTTCTGTGACTTAACAGGACATTTAAGGCAAATTCCAAATGTGTTTAATTTGCCATATGGTTCCAGAAGTATGTAGGATCACTATGAACTGGGCATGACAAGTTTCACAAATGACAGACAAAGTAGGAAGCTTGGAACTCACATCCTCAACTTGCAGCATGAAGCAGAGAGGGGGAACTACAAATGGTATACAATTGGGACCTATCAAGCCCACCCCAAGTAACATACTTCCTCCAGCAGGGCTACTTTTCCAAAACATTCCCAAATTCTACAACCAGCTGAGAAGGATTCATTTCTCTGAGTTCAAGTACTTGTTTGATTTCTGTTACATGAAAGAACCCATGATGAAGAAAAACTCTGTAGATAAGCCTGTGGTTGCCTCAACACCTGAGTTACAGGAATAAATGCTTATACAAGTAGAACATTGTGAATAAACATATATTAGTTTAAGTTTTTTTTTTCAATTTCCATTATGTGATATCAGTGTGTATTTGTGTGTTTATGTGGCTCTCCATTCTGGTTTCCATGAAGAGCAGACCCTTTGATCTTCTTGTACCAGGAATTACAGGAAGTTGTCAAAATCCTGACCTAGGTCCTAGGAATGAACTTGTCTTAATGCACAGCCATGTCTTTAGTTCTGTAATATCTTAAATCCTTTATATATCATCTTGATGTCAAGAAGTAGAAAAGAATTCATAGAAGAGAGCAACCCAATTTATATGGGTTTTGATGACATAATGGGTTATGGGTTTAAATGGGTTTTGGAAATAATAAATGTATTCATTTTCAAGAAAAACTGTTTAAAATCTGTTTTTATCATGTCATGTGGGAAGTAAATTATTTACCATGTTCACTTATTGTCATAGAGGATATCACCAATTGTGATTGTGGTCTGTATTTTGAAACATTGGAGTAGGTATTGAAGTTGGCTGAATGTGGAGCAAATCCATTCACAGAAGTTTATTAGATCATTCTGATAATTCTTTCTGTGGCTGCTGTTCATCTAATGCATTTCCTCTTGGTGATAAGTATTTTTCTGCTGCAATGTATTGAATGGGATCCCCACCATCTATGTTATCAATTTATTTGTGTCTGGCAGTGTGTGATCATAATTCTCAAAGAAGTGTCTCTGAAAAAGCATGGTGCTTTTTTATTTCATATTTTCACAAAATCCTTTGAGATGTTTGTTTTCAAACCTGGCTTGTATGTTAGTAATTACTCAAGGCTACATTTGAAGTCTTGATTTGCATGTGTCAGCCTTCTGAGTACAAGTCCAAGGGTGGAAAATGTACCTGCAATGTGTCCTGTTTTGTCAACATATTTTGCCGATGTTAATGTTAAAATATTTAATAGAATATATGTATGTATTTTTTGAAGTTCCATGCTTCTTCATGTTCTCATTATTTACTTATGGCACATCATGCTCAAGTTCTGCCTTCTAAGAGAATTATCTAGAGGTTCTAGATAATGCAACAACAATGAGATTTATTTCAAGAAAGCATGTTGTATGTGTGTAATGTGACCGTGTGTTCTTAGGCCATGATATATAAAGACTTGACAATTTTTGGAGTTGATTTTTACCATTCTTATATGATGGTCAAGATCTTGTTGCCAGTTTTGCATACCACAAACATTCCCCACTCAATTCATTGGTAACCAAATAAACTTATCTGTAATGTTACATCAGTAAAATATTATCTTTAATTCAAATTATAAACATTATCTAAGAATGGAAGAAAATGAAATTTGAATAATAAACACTGTTTACGAATGAAAATGTTCTGGTTACACATGATTTGAGCTCAAACTCTGGGTAGCCCATATGTCTCCTATAAAATTTTCTAATATTTCTATACTTGGGCTGTTGTGTATGCAAACTCACACACCAGGGCATACATAAATAACATTTAAATCCAAATAAGGGCCAGTGTGGTCACTGACCAAAGGACTCTGGGTTTCTGGTTTAGAATTCATCTAGGGAAAGCAGATAATAAGCAACAATAAGTTGTCCTTTCACTGGCTCATACACATCATTGCATAGGTGTATACACACAAACACTCAAACATTTTTAAATGGGTGAAATTAACAAAGCAAAGAAATTGACAACATCAGAAATTATTTGGAAGTATAAATCACTGTAGACTTTGAAGACTTATTACTATTTTTTAAAAGAATAATGGTTTCTTTGTACATTTTATTTTATCCTTTCATTCTTTGATTCCAGGATAGGTCATTTAAAAACATATCTTAGCTGAGGCTCAGAAGTACATCCCTGTCTTCCTAGATCAGGGAGTAATTGTCAGTCCACTCTCTCTGAGGTTGAGGATAGTTTGGTCCACAGAGTTAATTCTTTTGTTTGTTTCTTTTGGAGAGAGAATTTGCCTGTGTATCTTTGGCTGTCCTGGACTCCCTTTGTAGACCAGCCTAGTCTTAAATTCACAGAGATCTGCCTGCTTCTTCCTCCCTGAGTGCTGGAATTACAGGTGTGTGCCACCATGCCCAGCTCCACAGATTGAGTTCCAAAATAGCCATAGCTATGAAGATATATCCTGTCTTCAAATGATTCCAACAAGGTAGACTGTACCTCAAATTATGGATTTTTTCCCAATATAATTGACTGGTTTCAACAAAGCCTTTTGTTACATTTACTCACATCAAGAGAACTGTGGTAACAATGAATATAAGAAGCAGTGTGGAAGAACCATTCATACAGGGATAGAAATCCATTTAATCCTCCAGCCATTTATCAGGGACTTCATCACCTTCCAGTGCTAGGAAGCATCTACTTCCTCTGCATTATAATGACATCATTGGGAACTAGAGAGTTAGTGGTACTTCTCCTTTGTAAACCCAGTTTAATTCCTAGCACTCACATGAAATGACTCAGAACTACCTGTGTTTCGAAGTCAAGTATATTGGATGTAGGCTTCTGGCCTCCTAGAGGACAAGACAGTGAAAATGGTAAAAACAAACAAACAAACAAACAAACATGAACATGTGATTCCCTAATGTAAAACATTTTCTTCACATATATCTTATTTTTTTCTTTAAAAATAAAATTGATTTAATTTAGGTGCATAAGTTTTGCCAGTGTGTATACAGTGGAGGCCAGAGAGAATATCTGTTCCCCCATGATTGGAGTTACAGTTGTGGTCTATCTCTTATCTAGGCCATATGGCTGAGCAGCCAGCACTCATAGGTGTTGAGCCATCTACTCAGTGCTAGGAGGATATCATTAATAATAGTAATGTCTATCATTAGTGCCGAGGTATGTTTCTTACATGAAGCAGAAAGGTAGGTCCTTTTTTGTGTCTGTTTTGTAACGTGTTGTTTTTTTTTTTTTAACTAGGAACCTGTTGCCATTGGTATTGAGATATAATAATGACGAGTTTTTGTTACTTCCTGTTATTTTGATGGTGGTGGTGGTAGTGTGTCTCTTATATTTTTGGTAGTGAGCCTAGTCTTTAACAGCTGAGCCATCTCTCCAGCCCAGACAGTATGTGTCTGTATGTGTGTGATAGTGTGTGTGATTGTGTGTGTGTGATTGTGTTTCCCTTCGTTGGTTTTGCTGATATGAAGTTATATTTTTACTGTGTTTCCTGGTTGTATTTGCCCTCTTTGGTTTGGAGTTTTCCCTGTAGTATCTTCTGTATGGTTGATTTGTGAATAGGTATAGTTTAAATTTTGTTTTGTTTTCTCTCTTTATGGCATTTAAAGGTTTTGCTGGGTAAAGTATTTGGGGCTGACATCTGTGGCCTTTAGTGTTTGTAAGATACATGTCCAGGCCCTTCTGTCTTTCAAAGTTTCCAATGAGATATCAGATATAATTGACAAGGTTTGCCTTTATATGTGACTTGGTCTTTTCCTGTTGCAGCTACCTAGGACCATGCATGTACTAGACCAAGATCAGCTGCACATATGTGACTTATGCACAAGTTAGTCTTCATGTGGGTCTCCTGGTAAGTGGAGCAGGGACTCTCTCTGACATGGACTCTACCTGCTTTTTGATCACTTCCCACTGGTGGGGCTGCCTTGCCCAGCCTCAGGAGAAGAGGATGACTTGGTGTGGTGGAGTAGGGCTCCCCTATTCTGAGGAGAATGTGAAAAGGGATTGGAACAATAGGAATGGAAGGTATTACTTACTGATCTATACTGCTATTTAGTGACTCTTGCTGTTGAAAAGGCATGCTTTCTTTCATGTCATAACATAAATTAAAGTTTGCACAGTTTAAAAATTATCACAGAAATGCAAAACCATTAGTAAATAAGATGCTGTTATTGATACTGACAAAAATGAGCGTGGAAATGTAGGTTTTTGCTAAAAGATCTGCCAGTTCAGAATGCTTTGAGCTTAATTCCCACCAATGCAAGACAAATAAACAAGCAAACAGGCTGGTACTGGATAAGGAGCACTGTTAAACAGACAAAGAGTTGATACTAAGAAGTGGTTGCAGAACCTCAGTTGTGGGACTGCTGATAATTATGAAGTATAGCATCTTCGCTAGGTCTATACAGTGGACTCCCTTTCTCAGTGAGGTTATATTTTTGCCTGATATGGGGAACCCCAGATACTAAGGAGTATCACATAGCCCTGAGTGAAGATTACAGGCCTGACCCTTTCCTGATAATAACCCTGCTCAGCAAGAACCTGGGGATTCCCGGAAATACACCACCCTATGCTAAGGAGATTTTGGCTTTCAGCAAATGCCTTTCAGCTATACCTAGAGATATACCCCACCACGGGATAATTAATTTATATATTCTCCTCGTCGTGGGACTGTGATACTGCATGCAAATGAAGTACTGCACCACAACATATAAATCAACTATCCCTAGCATCTAGCCCCAGGAAAACAAACACATTCATCCTCTAAGCCCAAGGTTTATAAATTCCTGATTTCACAGGAAAATAACATTGTGATAATATCAGTTTCCACCATGGCTACTTGAAATTTGTCAGTCCTTTATTCTGGAGGAGAGAGGGTTTCCCCTCCTCCCTTGAGATTTGCCACTGAGATCCCAGAACTTGGGTACCAGCTAGGATGGCTGGATACTGTTGGACATCTAAAAACCATGTTGACCTCAAGCAATGCACCCCCTGGGCCTAGACCTGCCTTTCAGCCCAATAGGCCTACAACCCACTGGACCTATTTCCTGGCATGCTTGATCCAAGCCTGGCAAGGCCTGTAATTTGGCTGCAATCCTACACCAGCTTAGCCAAAGAGATGAAACACTTCCACATCATCACAGGCACTGCTGTGTGATTGTGAAAGCCTCATTTAAAAAAGCTAATTGTAACACCTGGTGTGAACCTCATTTCCACTTCCCACAGACCTGGCCTAGAGCACTGATCTTGAGCTTGAACTAGCCAAATCCCTTGAGTGCTTGAATTTATTCTAGAGAGAATTGGTACCTATGTTCTGAGGGACCCACAGTTCTTTGTCCAGAAGCCGACAGCCATATCCCAGACAACCACCAGATACAAAAGAACACTCAGTGCTTTAGGAGAACATAAAAATATTACAAAATAAATTAATAGACACATAAAATATTAGTGTACGTGGTCTTTTGTGCTGCATAAACCTCTCAAATCTTTTAATCAACTAAATTAGTTGTGTTTGTTTTAGTCATGGTTTTCCTGGAACTTACTCTGTAGACAAGAATATCCCCAAACTTGGAGAATCCTTGCCTCTACCTCCAGAGTGCTGGGATTAAAGGCATGAGAAAATTCCACCATCAAGATAATTCTGATTAATTTTAGGTAGCAATATGACTATTAATTGTATTCAACTGTTATTAATGTTTTAATTAATTTTTTAATTAAGTGTACAAATGGAGGAAGACACCAAACATCCTATATACTTACAAATTTATATGTGCATACATGTATGGGTGCACAGAAACACACATACTGATATATCAGTATATATTATTGTATGCATTTTAACACAGTACATTTCTGTATGACTGCTAAGTTTCATTAATAGTATTTTTAAAAACAGGATTTTAAGGATTTTAATGCACATGCCTGTAATATCAACATTTTAATTAAATGTTTTTAGTATTAGTTACAGTTTATTAATTTTGTATCTCATCTGTATCCTGCTCCCTCATTCCCTCCCAATCCAACCCTCCCTCCCTCATTTTCTCCCTATCCCTTTCTAAGTCTACTGATAGGGGAGTACCTCCTCCCTTTTCATCTGACCCTAGCTTATCAGGTATCTTCTGGCCTGGCTGCAAAGTCCTCCTCTGTGCCCACCAGGACTGCTCCTCCCTCGGGTAGGGGTGAGGTCAAAGAGCCAGCCATTGAGTTCATGTCAGAAATAGTCCCTATTGCCCTTACTACAGAACTCACTTGGATACTGAGCTACCATGGGCTACATCCGAGCAGGGGTTCTAGGTTATATCCATACATGGTCCTTGGTTGGAGTGTCAGTCTCACAAAAGACCCCTGTGCAGGATACATTTGGTCCTTGTGGAGCTCCTGTCCTTTCCAGGTCATACTAACTCCCCCTTCTTTCATATGATTCCCTGTACTCTGCCGTGGGTTTTGTTATGAGTCTTAGTATCTGCTTTGATACACTGCTAGATAGAGTCTTTCAGAGGCCCTCAGTGGTAGGACAAGTAACAGGTTGTCCTGTTACTTGTTTTCCCCTACAACCAGTGTCCATCCCATTTGTCTTTTTAAGTGAGGGTTGATCATCTTACCCAGCCAAAAGATGCTCA